TGCTTTATGAAAGGAGGCCAAGGAAGCGCCCAAGGAGGAGGTCATTTCTGTGCTAAAACTCGAAAGAAGTGAGAGCAAGCCGCTGGGTTATACTTGGGAAGAGCATTCTGGGCCGAGGGAACGGCCAATGCAAAGGCCCTGGGGCATGGTGGTGACTGGCTGGTTCATGAGACAAAAATTAGAGCTGGGAGATGCAGGGCCTTTTGGCCATCATTGGGTATGGCTTTTGTCCTAAATGAAACGGGGCAGGGGGTATTTTCAGCAGGGGCAAGCAAAATGTGATTGGGCTGCCTCGTGGAAGGAGGAAGCCCCGAAGAGGGGAGAGACCTGGACCGGGTGGTGGCTGTGACAGGACCAGAGCCAGGAGCATCTTCATCAAGCAAAGGCACAGCTGGGGAAACAGGTGTGGCTGTGGGCCAGGCCTGTGCCGGCCCCTCTCTCCCACTGCAGACCCCGACAGGGCCATGAAGGTGCTACTCCTCACGGGGCTGGGAGCCCTCCTCTTTGCCTATTATTGGAATGACAACTTCGACCCAGGTAAGGACCTAGGAGTAGGGAGGAGGATTGGGGTTGGCTGTCCTGTGCACCCCCAGCCTAACCACCCCTGCTCGCTGCCAGCTAGCCTCCAGGGAGCCCGCGTGCTGCTCACCGGGGCCAGTGCTGGTGTTGGGGAGGAGCTGGCATATCACTACGCACGCCTGGGCTCCCACCTGGTGCTCACTGCCCACACCGAGGCCCTCCTGCAGAAGGTGAGACACCCCATTTCCAGTTTAATGGGTGGGCTGGGAGTGGAAAACGGTGCCTAGATTTGAATCCCTGCAAAGATCCAGGATTCCTCTGTGACCTTAGTCAAGTCACTTAACCTCTCTGAGCCTTAGTTTCCTTATTTGCAAAACGGAAAAATAAAAGCACCTTCTCATGGGTTAGGGCGTTGGTTTGATGCAGTAAGACAGTGAGTGTAAAGCAGGGAGCGTTGCTCAATAAATGGGAGAGTTGCTAGTGACCAAAGCCTGTGTGGATAGCCGGGAGGGGTGGGTGGGCACTTCTCAGCAACAGCCCATAGTTACTCCAATGAAATGTACAACTCTTGGGACAAACCTCCCCCAAATACAAGAGAAGCCAGAACTCTCGAGATTTATTTGGTGACTGAGTAAATAAAACGTCCCCTATTCTGACCCAAGGGCTGGCTGCCAGTTTGCCTTGGGACTGATGTTGAAGGAACCAGAGGCTCAGAGTAGGGGAGGGGACTTCAGGCTGGGGCCCCGATGGGCCCGGCAGGTGGAGGGGGGCCAGCTGGGTGGAGGGGCCCACGGGCAGCTCTGGCCCCCCCAGGTGGTAGGGAACTGCCGGAAGCTGGGCGCTCCCAAGGTCTTCTACATCGCTGCGGACATGGCCTCCCCGGAGGTGCCCGGGCGCGTGGTGCAGTTTGCGCTGGACATGCTGGGTGAGGGGCGGGGCCTGGAGTCCGGGACCTTGGCCTAGGCCTAGCGGCAATACCTGATTGGGTTGGGGGTGTGGTAGTATGGGCGCCTGAGGGCGGAGATTCATGGGACCCGGGGGCGTGGCTAGGGTGGAGCCTCATTGCATTCAGGTAGAGGAACGCGATCTGGGGAGAAACCTAGCTGGACTCAAGAGTAGGGCGGGGTCTCTGATCTTAGTGGTGGTGCTACCTGAAGCAGAGCTTGGTGGATTAATGCTCTGGAGGGACCTTCCTAGTTCAAGGGGGCGGAGTCACGCCCGGGCGGGGCCTCAGGACTACCTCTCAGCTGACCGGCCTCTCCGGGCCAGGAGGGCTGGACTACCTCGTACTGAACCACCTCGGCGCCACCCCTTCAGGCACGCGGGCCCGCAGCGCCCAGGCTACACACTGGCTCGTGCAGGTGCTCCGCCCCTCCGCGGCTGGCTCCGCTTTCTCGGTCCTGGCTCCGCCCACCTGGGGCGGGAGCTAGAGCCCCTTGCCTTCTCTCCCCAGGCCCCGCTCCTCCCATGTTCTAGGTTTCACCCTCCTTAGACCTTGGCTCCACCCATGGCCGACGCTGCAGACTTCCTGGCCCAGACTCAATCCCCTCCTGGGGTCCGGCCCCTCAGGCCCCGCCCCCTGTGGTTCTAGCTCCACCCTTTATCCTCCGGGCCCCTGGGACCCACCCACACGCTAAGCCCTGAGCCCTGCCATCCGGGAATCCACCTGCTCGCCCCTACCTGCCCGTGCCCGGCCCATCCTGGTTCTAGGCTCCGCCCCCTCCCGGGTTTGGTTCCCTCCTTGGCCCGGTGACTTGCAGTCACCACCTTTAGGTGAACTTCCTGAGTTACGTGCAACTGACTTCGTTAGCGCTGCCCAGCCTGACGGACAACAAAGGCTCCCTGGTGGTGGTGTCCTCGCTGCTCGGTGCGTGCACACGGGCTGGGGAGTCTGGGAGGCCACAGGGCTGAATGAGCGGGAGCCTGGAGGGGCCGAAAGGCTTCCTGGATTAGGGGAGCAGCGTGCGGCTGCTCAGCCGCCGCCCCCCTGCGTCCGCAGGCCCCGTGCCCGCGTCGTTTTCCAGCCCCTACTCGGCAGCCAAGTTCGCGCTGGACGGTTTCTTCATCTCTCTGCGGCGGGAGCTGGACGTACAGGACGTGAACGTGGCCGTCACCGTGTGCGTCTTGGGGCTTCGAGATCGCGCCTCAGCGGCCGAGGGAGTCCGGTGAGGTCCAGGCCGTGGGCAGGGTCTGTGGGGGGCCGCCAGCCCCAGCCACAATCCCCACCGTGTCTTCCTATCCCCAGGGGTGTCACAAGGGCCAGGGAGGCCCCTGGGCCCAAGGCGGCCCTGGCCGTGATTCGTGGTGGTGCCACTCGGGCCCCCGGAGTCTTCTACCCACGGCGCCTCCACCTGCTCTGCCTGCTCCGGGGGTGGCTGCCGCACCCAAGGGCCTGGTTCATCCGCCAGGAGCTCAACGTCACGGCCGCCGCTGCTGCCTGAGCTCCGGGGGTTGGTGCTCCTTCATCTTCCCAGAGGAGACCTCCATCCAACCCTCCGAGAGCCGGGACGCAAACCCAGACACCTCTAAGAAGGTGGCCACACCCCAAGATCGAGTCATCGGGACAGAAAAGGAAAGCCGAGAGAAACTACCAGCATGTGGAAACCATCACACCTCTGGGTGTGGGAGAGCGACTGTGTGTCAGGCACCTTGTCAGGGACTCGGCATTATGTCCGTGTCTGCCATCCTTGATGATACGATTGCTCCTTCCATTTTCCAGATGAGAAAACTGAGGCTTGGAGAGGTGGTGTGACTTTCCCTAGGCCTGGCCACATCAAACAGGTCACACACCCCTGAGCCACCCTGGGAAGCTTCTCCATCTTCCACCTGGAAACACGAAGACCCTGATTTGTTCTTTCCACCCACTGAACCTCAGAGTATCTCCCAGCCCTTGTCCCAGCCAAGGGAGAGCTTCGAGAGCTGCTCCCGTGATGGCGAGGTCTGAGGACCGGGAGGAGGGAAAGGAGGTATTCTGGGCTGGACCCAGCCTCCCGTGCCACAATAAAAATCCCTCCTCCCTTGCACATCCATTGTTCAAATTGCCTGGTCCTTCCAGTTTGCTGGTGGCAGGTGAGGGGAGAGGGATGTGTGTACTGGGAGCAGAACTCTCGGCCCCAATTTACAGGTGGAGAAATGGAGGCCGAGAGAGAGGTAGGCCTCAGTCAGAAAGGGCAGAAGGAAGGGTACTGGCTGCGGGCCAAAGGCTTTATTTGCAGCACAAAGTACATGCTTTGTGCATGAATAATGGTGACGTGCATCGGGAAGTAGGCACTTAACATTCATGATCTAATGGCATCTTTACAACCGGAAGTTGGTGTTAGCATCATCCCCATGTTATAGATGAGGAAATTGATGCTTAGAGGAGAAGTCAGTGGCAGAAGCAGGGATTCTGACACCAGACTGAACCTGTGGAAGGCAAAGTACGGGCTATATCTGCAGGTAACTGATATTTACATAAGTTAATAGAAAGTGGACACTTTCTAGCCCTAAAATGGTAAACCAGAGCTGCTTGCACAAGGAAAAAGCAACTGTAAAGATACAGGCTGAATAATGAAAAAAAAAGTTATAAAATGCTAGATTCTGCTGGCCATCCAAAGCTCTAAGATTAACAAGTGTTAGAAGAGCTAGGCCGAAACAGACCAGCCCTAAATTGAGACTGTATCCTGGGGAGACGTAGGATCGAAAGATAACAGGGAAAAAAGTTTTGGTCCCAACAACGCCTCTCATCCATGTACCACCTAAAATTACATCGAAGTATATCAAGTGCCACTAGGGGGCACTATACGACAGCCTTCTCAGCCCTGGTACAGAGCTCGGACTCAGAGTGAAACCAATGCTTCTCTTTATGGAGAAAGTTTATTTTGTGCCAAGTACCGTTATACCTTGTTCAAACACTTGGGAATAGGCGTTGTGAAAACTAAGAAGGGGAAACCTCCCTAAAATGGAGTTGGAAGGCCAGCAAGGGGGGCTCATTCCCACCACTCCCCATCAATTGCAGACTCCACAAACGGAGACCTTGCAAGTCATTCTATTTTAGCTGCCTTACTACCCACCAGACTGTCACAGCTCAGCCAATGAGAAGCCATGAGACGTGGGACTCCCAGTTTCTCCAGTGAACTTTTGGCTTAAAGCAGCCCTCCCAGCTCAACCCTTTGCTCTATAAAAAGGGGATCCTCTTCTTTTTTTCTCCAGACTTGCCTATGGCGTGTCCCAAATTGGAATCTGTTCTGCCCGAATTAACCCATTTTTGCTGATTAAATAACTTGACAGTTGTATTTTTGAGGGTAACGGTACCATTATTGTCCTCATTCTGTAAATGGAGAAATTCAGGTATTGGATGGCGAACTCCCCACTCCACAGTCAGAAAGCTCGCCGCCTGCGCGGGACTGCAGCCAGCAAGCGGCGCCCCCAAGCACCCGAGGCCGGGCTTCTGGGATAAATGCGCATGCTCCAAGAGCCCGGCGGAGCCGGCCGAGGGAGCGAGCGGGACGCCTCCAGCCACGAGGGGGAGCGCGCGGCCTTCCTGCCTCTCTGGCCCGCGCCTCCCGTCGATGGTAGCTATCCCAGGGTTCCGAAGGGTGCTGGCCCTTCCGCCTCGGCAGCGATTGGAGGGCGGTAGGTTGGTGGGTCCCCGCGCGAGTAGTATCCGCCGCCATCCGGGCTCCGGAGTCCCGGTGCGGCTCAGGGGCGTGGCTCGGTGCAGCGAGCGGGCCCGGGGAAGAGGGGGCGCGGAATTCCGGGCGGCGGGGGTCCCGAGCCCCGACTCACCTCCACCTCCTCTCCCCTCCCCTGTCCGCAGCCATGGCTCTTCGCTACCCCATGGCCGTGGGCCTCAACAAGGGCCACAAGGTGACCAAGAACGTGAGCAAGCCGAGGCACAGCCGTCGCCGCGGGGTGAGTGCCGGGGGCGCGCGGTCGGGGAGCCTCTTCCGGGGAGGGGGAAGGCCTTCTGGGCGGAGGGCACGGCCGGGGAAAGGCCCCTGGGGGAGGCGAGCGCCGCGGAGCAGCCCCGTCCCGGGGGCTTGCGGGAGCCTCGGGGTGGAGCGGGGGAGGAGGCGTCGGGGGGACGGAGCAGTGCGTGCGGCCGAGGCCTCGCCGGGCGCCCCCGGCACGCGGGGTAGAAGCCGGGCGGAGGGAGCGGGTTTTGATGCATGAGCAGGAATTTGCCCGCAGCACGGGAGCTGGGTGTTCGGTACAGTGTAAACGGGACGCGGAGGCCCTGTGAGTTCGCCGCGGCCTGTGAAGCAGCTCCGACCCCGTGGTGCCCGGTCGGAGGGGTTCCCGGCCCAGGGAAGGGCCAGGCGGGACGTGACGTGTCTGAGCTCGGAGGGCGGTGGGCAGTTCGTGCCGCCATTGCACAGACCTGCCCCGGGTCTCGTCTCGGGGCGCCCCACCCTGACGGCCTCTCCTCCCCCCAGCGCCTCACCAAGCACACCAAGTTTGTGCGGGACATGATCCGAGAGGTGTGCGGCTTTGCCCCGTATGAGCGGCGCGCCATGGAGCTGCTCAAGGTCTCCAAGGACAAGCGGGCCCTCAAGTTCATCAAGAAAAGGGTAGGTGGGCTTGTTACCAAAGCCAAACTCAGGGTGGCGGAGCAGCCCAGAGACGGACTGGGCAGGTTTATGGGGGGCCGGGGCGCGCAGGGTGCTTGCTCAGCTGTGGCACATTCTTCCTGTTGTAGGTGGGGAGCGTTATTTTGGAATTTGTTAGTGGTCAGCCTTCAACTGTGGCTTCACTTGTAGCCAGGCATGGGGACAAGGGTCCTGTGTGGTGTAGTGGCTGCGCTCCACCTTGGCAGGCGACCTCGCCTTCCCTGAACCCCTGCTGCTGCCTGCCTACGCGCCACCCAGGACCGAGGCTTCTCCGAACGGAGGGGCTGGCTGCGCTGCACACCAAGGGTGGGGGTGGGGCTCCCGGCCCTGGCTGATGGCCCTCCGTGCGTGGCAGGTGGGGACACACATCCGCGCCAAGAGGAAGAGAGAGGAGCTGAGCAGCGTCCTGGCGGCCATGAGGAAAGCGGCAGCCAAGAAGGACTGAACCCCCGCTCTCTACACAATAAAGCCTTTTCAGGAACTTGGGGTATTCCGTCTGGTCCATCTGCTCAGAGCCCCCTGCTGCCACCCTCCTTCCTGGGCCACAGAGGTGTGGGCATGTGGCAGTAGAAGAAAAAAGAAGCAGGCAGTACTGGAAATGGTGTTTTAATCATAACTAAATAAGTCATATGCCAGGCTCAGTGATTGGGCTGTAAGTCAGGTTCCTGAGCCTCGGGGGGGCTCAGCTGCCCGGGGCCTCTGCCCTGCTGGGCCCGTCGGTGCCAGCCACGCCCAGGCTGCCGTCACCGCTCCAGGGCCAGAGCCTCGGCCTGCTCCTCGGGGAAGGCTATGGCGAAGATTTCATGGTAGTGCTCCACGAAGTGGACCTCCAGGCCCTCGGTAATGAAGGCAGCCAGGTCGTAGAAGTCCTTCTTGTTCTCGGCCGGCAGGACGACGCATGTCACGCCAGCGCGTTTGGCCTGAGGGGACAGCAGGTCAGCCAAGGGCAGAAATGGGGTTAGCCTAGGCCTCGTCCTGGAATCCCCACCCTGTGGTGTCAGGGGGAGATGTTTCCTGAATCCACGGCAGTGCCCACTGCCTTACACTTAGGGGTTCACACTTACTTGTGCAGGGGGGAGCTGGAAAGGAACCGTGAGTGCATTTGAAATACAGCCAACATGACATTTCCCTGCTTGCCTGGAATTCCAGCCCCATAGGCCCGGGCCTCTGCACTGCCATCCCTCAGCCTGAATCCACCCCTTGGAGGACAGGGACTTGGTCCACGGGGACTTCTGGAGCCTCTGTCCCCCTGTGGAGACCCTGCCACCCAAAGGCTGTTAGGCGGGGTGCTGTGGAGGGTGCTCTGCCAAGGGTAAGACGGCACGGGTGTGCCTCTGGTCTCGGCCCGCCAACCTAGTTCCCATGCAAGGCCACGTGGGCGAGGGGGCAGCAGGCGGGGTGGGGGTCCCACTGCCATCCTTCAGGAGCCGGACGGGTACTTTCTCATGAAGAGGCCCTGAGCATGATGCAAATGACTGGAGGGGCAGCCACAGGCCCAGTCCCGTGCCACCCTAGGCTTCGCTTTGCCAGCCTATAAAACGGGCCATCCCCCTTCGTCGCCCAACCCGTATAATGGGGCTGGGAGCTCTCCCGGGGCAGTGTCAGCCCTCGGGCACCACACTCACCGCGATGGTCTTCTCCTTGATGCCGCCCACGGGCAGGATCTTGCCAGTGAGAGAGACCTCGCCCGTCATGGCCAGATTCTGCCGCACTGGCCGGTCCATGGCCAGTGAGAGCAGGGCTGTGACGATGGTGCAGCCAGCGCTCGGGCCGTCCTTGGGGGTGGCACCCTGGGGGGAGATGCAGGTGGGTGGTGGGCCCCACTGCACGCAGGGGGCAGGGCCAGAGTGGGGGCCTGGGCGGGGCCCTCACCTCGGGCACGTGCAGGTGGAGGTGGGAAGTCACCAGGTACTCGTTGGAGGGGTCGTGCTGCATCAGGAAGGCCCTGGCAAAGGTGTAGGCGATGCGGGCACTCTCCTTCATCACCTCCCCCAGCTGGCCTGTGACCTCCAAGCTTCCGTCCTTGTCCCCCTTGTCCTTGTCCCTCGGCCGCCTCAGTGACGTCTCAACAAACAGCGTAGAGCCTCCTAGGAGTGGAGAAGGGGGAGCCTGTGAACGCAGGAGTGGGCTGTTCCTCCCCGGCTCCTCTGGACGTCCCCATACAGCTGCTGCACGGTCCCCACGGCCACCCTGGGCTTTGAGACCCCGCTGCCCCCCACCACACGTCACTGTGAATGCCGTCCAGAGCACCACACCTTTGGCCATTCTGAACCTGCTGGCTATGGAACCCCAAAGCAGCAGAACCCCTGCCCGCCACCAGCAACAGTTCTGGCTGCGTAGGACTCGGAGCCACACCGCCCTTCAAAGCTCTCTGACCCAGCCTCCTCTTGGGCTGAACAATGTCACCTGGTCTTGGAAGTCCCCCTCCAACCCCTTTCTACCCTGCTGGGTAGCGGCCCCCAGGTCAGAGGTTCCCGGGCTTTGAGGGACTCTTCTCCCCACCCAACCCCCAAAACCTGTCAAAGCATCATCCAAATGGAATTTGCCTCTGGGCCGCTCTGCCATCTCCTGGTCCCATCATTTTCCTCCATCAGCCCCGAATCCCAAGTCCCCATGCTGTTCAGCCGGGAGGGGCACGCATAGCTACTGGCAGACCTCCCCTCCCTGCTGCCGGCAGTCCACTCACCCATGGCGGTCCAGGCCAGCCCCATGACCACGCCGGGAGGCGTCACGTCATACATGCGGTCCACGGTGAACATGGGCTTCCCCACGAAGTCCTGCAGGTTCTCAGGTGTCACCTCCACGAACTCGGCCTCGCCACTGACGATCTTGTAGGCAGATTTCCGTAACACCTGCGGGGGTTGGCCCAGGGTGGGCAAGAGTCAGAGGGGCCCGTGTGCGCAGGCTCACCAGCGCCCCCCACCTGCCGTAAGCATCATCCCAACCATTTTAAGTGCACAGCTCAGCAGCCTGAAGCACATTCACGTGTCCTATGACCCCCCGACCCCCCCATCTCCCCAAACGGAAGCTCTGACCCATGAAACACTCCCACCCCCTCCCCCTGGCCCCGCCACCCACTTTCTCGGCAGATGGGGGTCCTCCTCGGGGTGGGTCAGACAGCACGGACCTCTGTGCGGGGCTCAGGGCAGGCAGCCCCGCCCCCAGGCCCCTCCCACCTCCAGGGGCGGCCCTCAGCCGCCCTCTCACCTTCTCCACCTGCTTCTGCAGGTTGCGGACGCCGCTCTCCCGGCAGTACTGCCTGATGAGGAGGGTCAGCACGTCTGATGACAGCCTGGCCTTGCTCTCGTCCAGACCGCACAGGGTGCGGGCTTGCGGCACCAGGTACCGCTGGAAGGGGCAGAGCACAGCCGTCAGCGCCCCGGGGGCTGGGACTGGGGTCAAGAGCCGACACAGCTCCCACGGCCACCGTCCACTACCCCAGCCTCACCCGGACCCCTGGCCCGGCCAAGGCCAAGGACGTGAACCCAGGGCCTGCCCACATGGAGCGTTCGTCCAGGAGTTGGGGGTGCCAGGGAGGCCGCTCCGGGAGGTAGGACCTCGAGGGTGAGGTGCCAGCAAGGCCGGGAGGGAGGGTGGCGGTGTCCGGGCAGAGCCACGCAGGCACAGGACCCTAGGTGGCAGGCCTGCTGCCGCCACCCTCCAGAGGCTCCAGGGCCGGCTTCCCCTACGCCCACTGCCAGGCCCGCCCCAGGCCTCCCTCCCTCTATCCCCCCTCCGTCATCCGAGACACAGCTTCTCCAGGAAGGCCTCCCTGATGCCACGGCTCTATACCTCTCCACAAAGAACCCGAGTGGCCTGTGACACTGGGAGAGAGGAAATAGAGATGAGCCCTGACGCAAGAACCCCCTGGGTGGCAGGTCCAGGGCAGCTGCCCCTTCCATGACACCCATATGTGCCGAGGACAACAGGCCTGTGACCAGGTGGCCAACTGTGGGGTTGGAGGACGGCAACTGTTTGCATGTCAGCAGCGGGCGGAGCCTCCATCAAACCTTGAAGTGGGGTTTGGATGGACTGCTGGAGGATCTGGGAAGGGGCACCCACAGAGGGCCCGGAAGCCCCTGCCAGTCCCACGACTTGCCCGAGCCTCTTGGCTGTCCCCTAGTTGTATGTTCACAATAAACTGGTGACAGTAAACAGTGAGCTGTTCCAACAGTTCATCAAACACAAGGAAACGTGGGGACACACTGCTTTATGGCTGGGGGTCAGAAAACCGAGGGGTCCCCGAGTGGCACCTAAGGCAAGCAGGGCAGCCCTCAAGGACAGAAGCCTTAACCGGTGGGGTTTGACTAACTCCGCGGTCACCGCCCCTCTGAAACTGGGCAGTGGCAGAGTAGGTGGACTAGGGACACAGCGGAGGGGCTGGCTGGGGTGGGCAGCGGCCCCGGGGTGTCTGAGGCGAGAGCTCTCTCTGGAGCACCTCGGGGGCAGTGCCAGGCCTGTCCCGCTGTCCCTGTGGAAGGGCGTCATGACAGCACGTCCCCGTGGACGCACAGCTCTGGTGAGCACCACACTCAGTGAGCACTCGTAGTTCTCGGGCCTAGGCTGCCACAGGGGCCCCTTCTCAGGGGCCTGGCCTCACCTCTGCAATGGCGAGCTTCTCCTGGGCCACGTAGCCAGACACGTTGATCATCTCCATCCGGTCCCTCAGCGGCTCCGGGATGGTCTCAGTGACGTTGGCAGTGCAGATGAAGAGCACCTGGGAGGGGCGGTGGTGAGGCCTGCAGGACGGGCCGGCTGCCCTGCACCAGGCACGGCCTCCAGGCGGCCACCCACCTTGGACAGGTCCACGGGCACGTCCAGGTAGTGGTCCAGGAAGTTGGCGTTCTGCTCAGGGTCCAGGAGCTCAAGCAGTGCTGAAGAGGGGTCTCCCTGGAAGCCCCGGCCAATCTTGTCCACCTGGGTGGGGGGGGGGTGTGGCGCCTTGTCCAGCCCCCAGGCCTGCTAACCAGACACTCCTGGTAGGGGGCCAGTGGGTGGGACTGGGGAGCCCTGAGAGCAGGAGGGCTGCCTTTGGCTGTCGGACGGCCCAGGAGCAATGCCATGAGACACCCAGATGCCCCCTGCTGCAGCAAGGCCCCCACGAGACTCGGAGGCCACTGAAACCACAGGGGCCAGGGGCTCGCCGGGATGCAGGCCCCGCCCACTCAGGGCCGCCCGGAGCTCTGAGCCAGCGGGCAGGCCCCTGCGTACCTCATCTATGAGGACCAGCGGGTTCTCCGTCTTGGTCTTCTTCAGACACTGGATGATCTTCCCCGGCATGGCACCCACGTACGTCCGCCTGTGGGGAGAAGGCACAGCTGGGGCGGCTGGGGCCTCATCCACGGCACC